GCTCCATCTCTTTTATTATCTTCAGAGATATCTTGACCTGAGTTTCTTTTGATATGGTATTGCGTTATTTATCCAAGATGGTTTTCACGTGGCAAGCAATAAATTTTTAAGCTTTGTTATTGCTGTCTTTCTCTCATTGTTTTTGTCTGGCTTCTTCAATCTCGTAGACTTACTGTAACGAATAAATATTGCAAACAAAACATTGCAATAATCTTTTCATTAAATATTATACATATAATGAAGAGTTAAAAATATGAAAGCGAATTATCGAACTGCTTTTATGTTCAGGGTGTTTAAAATTGTATACAGAGGAATTCAAATGAAATTTTCTTATCTAAAGAATACATATAGTCAACCTTTTACGTTTAGCAACAGTATCTATTCTATGTAAAACATTGCTCAATTTTTATTAGCATCGAAAAGTTAAATATTGTCGCTATTGATATAACATCTTTGTTTTTGATGTGGTGAAAAAAATAATAAAGCAAATACGACGCAACGGAAATTGATTAATGTCACGGAACGCTTCCAAGTCTTGTATTTTATTAGTAAATGTTTGATTTCACGAGCAGTTATTGGTTACTGACCGTGAAATAATAGGAGAATACTGATCGAGCGGCCTGTTTCTTTGATAATTGTGAACTTTTTGATTATTTTTAATTGTAATTTGAATGATCCACTATTTTGAACTCTGTATTTCTATTGTAATTAAATTTGATATTATTATCTAGTGAGGTTAAAATAATAACCATTGGCAATAAACAAAACAAATAAAAAGAATAAGAAAAGATGATCAGCGTTCTAAGACTCAAGTAAAGTAGTTTCTTGGTTCTTTATCAGTAAAAATCGGGTGCCAACATCACATAGCCTAAGGAGCGGATGGAATAATTTGAAAGACAGAATAACTTACAAATAATCCTCGCCAATACTGCTTTTATTATACACATCCATACTGCTATGATAATATTATTATTTTCGGATATTGGAAAAACAAGGTTATAAATTTTGTTGTAAACAACATTATGTAACAGTAATACCACTTTCCTTTACGTAATATTATAAGTGCTCCGGTTTTCGTCCGTAGTTTATGCCAGCCATTATATATTCAAGTGAGTGAAGCCAGAGTTGAAATAACGTATCGTTCTGTTGGAAACACTTCAAGTGGAACTTTTGTTACCGGGTCAACAAGGACGCAATTACGGAAAATAATATTGTTTTATATTTACACGGTTATTAATGACAACTTATTTGACGTTTAAATATAATTGCTAGTCTATATTCTATATGTAGAAGGTAAACAGAATGGTGATTTGAAACTTATTGGATTGGTTTTGAGATAACAATGATATAGTGGACATCGAAGCCAACCTCGCACTGTATGGGGGTTTACTTTTCCTGACGATATTTGTTTGCTCCGTACACATCGAACGTTGCATGTAACCTATATTAAGGGATAACTCGCTACTATGTATGAAAATGTTATATCAATTGAAAATAGCAGAAAATATCTTGAAGTTAATTTTGATTTTAATAAACAGTGTATGATTGAATTGTAGTGTCTAATGTTTTTATTATTTTGGTTTTAACATTAATTTGATTTGGATTTATTTTGGATCAAAAAAAATTGTTAGAAAAAGCAATTAATTCGGTATCCTTTTATCTATTGCCACTTATATTAAATTTGATATGGTTGCTTATGTAAACGGCTAATCAGGCATGACAAAAGAAGTTCAAAACAAAAGTTTTCTTACATTACAACACTTTAGATAAAATAAAATAACAAAATTGCAGTGGAAAGTATTTAGACGTTTTGTTCAACGAATAGCATTTTTTTCTAATTTATATATATTGTTTTATACGTCATGTAAATAACACATGTGTGTCAAGTGAAATTGTAAAATGTAAAACAACTTAAGTTATTTAACTTAACGTTTATGAGAAGAAAAATGTGGAACGTAATACTTGAGGTCAGCGTTTGTTAAATCAGCATACCAAACTTTACCGACGTTACAAATATTCCGAGAAGAGAATGTTGAAATATGCTTTTTAGTCGGCAGATTTAAGTTAAAGAGATATATGGAATCTCTGAAATATTATCGAGGGATGATATTTTTACTTGAATATGAATATAAAACGAAAGAAAAATATCATGTTTTGCTACTATTAATAACATTATTACGGTACTTTTACTAATTCTGTTGCTCTAGTAGCCAGATTAGCAATCTTAGATCCTACTATCAGATTAGCAAAATTTGTTCGATATCTTAAAGCAATAATTTAAAAAGTTATTATTTTTTATGTTTATGTTGATGAACTTACTGAAGCTGTCAGCAAATATGCCATTTTACTATGTTATTATTTCATTCAAAGCAAGTTAACCAGTATAAAGTTACAAAACTTTCGATTATATTATCATATCAATTAACGTTATCATGTTGAAACAAAAGAACAGCCTCCTAAAAGCGTTATGTCAAAATCATCAGATTTTCCCAGCGAGCAACGAAATGCATCAACTGTAGGGCACTTCTGTTACCAAGTACACGCTCCACAAACATGCATACCGATACAAAGCTGTCCCACTGGCCAAGTATCATACGCATTATTGCAATCAAAGAGAGAGCTTCTAGTAAAATGTCGGGTTTTCAAAGTAGTGCGCTATTGTTTTCCCAGCTTTGTTGTACGTGAATATTTTAGTTACGTGAACTTTATTGTTGCTATTCCGATTTATAGTTCGTCTGTTGCATGCTGAAGTGAGGATTCGGCAGCCAACGGCTTTTGTTAGTGATTTGTGACGTGAGCTCTCATGGAACAGACTGGAAGTCTTACGAAAGTTTTTCTAGTTCAATACGTCGACATGAACGTAAACCCATTGTACAATATTCGTCCTTGGCCCGGTTTTCATTAATCATAAACCTACTCCAAAACATACTGTGGTTTTAATACTGTTCTTTATAAGAAATGAAAAAGCATAAAACAAAAACTTTTCATGTATGTAGAACATAACTTATGTCATGACTGAAAAAATACGACGTGTAAAAAAGAATACTAAATTAAAATAAATTTTACATGCTTTCGTAAAATTAACTCAACATTTTGCGTTAAAAACTGCGTTGAAGTATAGTTGTAGCGTGATGAGAACGGTTGAAGTAATTGCGTGTGAACGCGGATTTATATTTATGAATAAATTAAACGGACAGCTGTGCCTCTTCAGACTTTACTGGTGAAATTTAATTGCAAAAACATAAATCATTTATATACATGCTGTCACATTTGTTTTACCATGTCAGATACGTTTTTTTATATTGTTTTTGTTTTTACTTTGTAATATTTAAAAATAAATGTGTTGAAGGTAGTTTAAAGAAGCAAGTATTTTCTTCAAATTCAAAGCTGATAACGTATTTGTAAACATTGTGTTTCAATTATACATAGGCGACCAAAACCATTCACCTTTTGATGGGCCGTCTTGCTCGTTTGCCATTTATGGCAAGTAAAAAAAATTCAATTTATTACATTAAATAGTTATTTAGATCCGTTAATGATAAATCAATTAAAATAAGAGAATTTCGGTAGCCAAGCTCCTTTTCTGCTACCAAAATTAAACAATATTTCTATTTTCTTGTTGCAATTCTTTATCGTGGCTATAAATATGATTATTGATATTTTTACATAAATTTTTAACGTAACATTTAAATGTTAAAATGTTTTGTGGTAGGAACCAAGTGCAATAATTTTTTCATCTCTGGTTTGACCACTCCTTCGTTGTCGAGCATATTTAATAGTACTATCTTGTAACAGTTTTTAGACTAAAGTAGTGCTTACACCGCGTTTTATTGGACTGATGAATTTTATAAGCCTTGATGTCAATAGGTGATCAAGTTATGGTTACTAGTCCTATTAGAAGTGCCTGTCAAGTCTGACTCCATAGTCCATTTTTTGATAACAAAGTAATGGTATGTTCGACTACAAGGCACCTGTGATCCGAAATTGAATTCCAGTCTCTTCAAACAAGTGTTCTTGAGTCGAGCAGTAGATTGGGAACTTTTTCGTTTAATAAAATCATCATAACATAAATGTTTTTTTTTAATAATTGTTACGTTTCCGTGGTGCAGAAATATTTATATATAACATTAATAAAATTTGGGATGATATTCAATAATTTTTAAATAAGTCTCATTTTCTTTTATAAATACTATATCTTAAATCTCAGTTCCTGTTTGGTATATTAATAACATTTCATTTGTTAATTACCTGCAATTACCTGTCAATTGGCACTTAATTTTAGGTAAACCATAAATGAAATATAATACGTACTCGTAGTCATGATGATTACTTATTATACATATATACAAGAAACATATTTTATTTTCTTTTCAGAGAGTTACAATAAAATTATTACCCAGCGGTAGCTACTTACGAGAAAGCACTTGTGCAGAGATAAATCCTTAGCGTCTAAAAATATCTCACGTTGGTTTTGTCTCTCCTTGACCTAATTTTAAGTAACAGTCCCGGAGAAAAGTATTTTTTATAACTAAAGTAATTAATTTCTATAATACTTCCTAATAAAGTTTAAAGTTCCTTTAACTGGAAAATGTTTTTTAAATTTTATATAGCAATATCATTTGCTTTGAGTTGTTTCATTAACTGGAATAAGAATGTTAATTGAAAACTTCAAAATTAAATTAAAATCTGTAATACGACTAGCAAACGGTGATTTCATTAAACTTAATCCTGCTCGTAAAATGGTAATGTACTTTGGTTTCCCACCATGACTTGAAATTATTATGAAACTATAATATTACCATTTTCACATAAAAATCTAATGAAATCTATGCAGTTTTAACCTAAGTTATTATTATTAAATTTCCTCTTTTCAATCAATGAAATCTTTTAAGTATCTGAAATTTTAGTCAAATGAAATTAAGTATGTAGACATTAAACAAGTCCAGTCATAATATTTAATGTTTTGTTTATGAATTAAAAGGATTTTTTTTGATCCCTAGGTTGCAACAAAACATACTATGGAGATATCGGTAGAACGTATGAACTGGAATTGCATCGTCCTAGAGAAGATTTGGTACCATACGTCTGCTTGCTGACCATCACTGCTGCCGGAGGTGTTCATGGAGATCTTGTTCAGGTAATAAGCTGCACACATTAGTAGTTACTTACCTCAAAATATATATACAAAGTAATCTTACCTACTTCGTATCAATGCCATAAAATAGATGACAATATACCTTGACATTTCATGTATTTTCCCTTTAAAGAACTGAGTCATCTAGCCTTACATACGTCATTAGTATTTCTAAAATAAAAGAATTCAAATTTGGTATGGACTTAATTAGTAACATGAGAAAATTTAAAAATAAATTTTGTAGCATAATTAATTATTGCCTCTAGAATGTTAAATAAAATCGTTCTCAACATAAAAGCAGGTGCTCTTTAATTCATGAAACCTTGACATTACTCGAGATTCAACCTCGAGCTTGGTTTGCGAGCTCGTTTTATAAAACTGCACCTTTTTTTATTTCCACTCGTGTTTAAAAATAAATAGAATGTTTTTTGGAGTTCTCAATGCTAACACAATACAACACTTTTGTGTTTAATTAATTTAAAACTATTGGTTTGGCATTAAAATTACATGTTTTCAAACAAAATATTTTATTTACGTTTAATGTGCAATTTAAAGATTAATGTATGTGTTTCACTCACATTATTATATATTGGTTTCGAAATATGAAAATTGAAAACCTACAGAGTATAATTACCAAAAATCCGGCAAAGATTTTTGTTGGTAATGATTTCTTTGTCATTATCAATTATGCATATACGTTTCAACTGTGAACTATAAAACAACAATTATAGGGAACATACCAAATAAAACAACGAAAATACAGCTAAAGTGTATATGAAAGAAAATATTTCGGAAAAAAAATAATTTGAAAAGGAACAAATAATACGTTAATTTCTTTGCATTGAATATGATATTATATAATTCTATACTACAGCTACTTATCAAGTTACTCAAAACTACATATAACATCGATATATTTATCAGGGTCATATAACCTTTTTCATATAAAAACTCTACAACGAGATAATCAAACGTCTAAATTGCTAACAAATCATATTATAGGAGGGCTTAGTGAAGTAGAAATAACGAGGATGTAGACCGATTTAGGTCTTTCGATAAAATTCAATACAATCTTAATTCTGGTTGTAATGTTTATTAAAAAAGAACTTTGTAATTTTATAGTTTTAATATAGTCATGCTAGTAAAACGACCATTGAATATTAGTGTAATTTATTTTAATTACCTATAATAAACCTAAACTCACCATCAAACTTTATTGTTAATATAAAAATCCCTTTGTTAGTGAAAAAATACATAATCTGTTCTATAAATAATTTCAATACATACATATATGCTTATTATTCAATTTTTGTTTTTGTATTACATATAAGCTTACTTTTTACTTTATAATTTTACAGTATTCCTAAAGTACTCACTGATTTTGTTAAAAAATACAATTTGAAATTTATCGAGCCAAATATAATTTCAAACAACAATGTAAGATAAGGCGGTGTAGGAAGATAGACCTATTTTAAAGTGTTTTGTGAGACGTCGGCTCTCACCAGCCATTTACGAATGCAAGCGTTGTCAGGCAGGCCTGGGCGTATTTTAATTTCCAACCCCGTCTTCCATTCACTGCTATGATAACAGACCTTTTCAGCCCTTTAAGCCTCGCAATTATGAGGTCACTTCACCTGCGTTTAACATTTAGAGTTCACTGTTGAATAGGAAAAATCGAGGCTTTTGTAATACTTTTTTGCTTAAAAACATTTCAGTTAAAATGTTTGTTGCAATTTAATTTCACTGGGGTGATAAATACGTTTGTGCTGAGTTTTTATTATTATTTTTATGATTATCGTGGGATTTCGTTGAGGTTAAACTAATTACTGTTTATGTAAAGCATTACTTGTGTTATTAAGATAAAGTCGTGAGATTATTAAATTTTTTTACTATTATGAATACATTTAAATTTACTTATTATATATTTTAATTACCCCGTATGTTACTTTGACGGAAAATTAGGCTATCTGGAATTCACAAAGACTTAATATTTTATTCGTAGGGGTTCCAGTTAATAAAGGATAAGTTTACTATCCAAAACTGTTTGTTCTTAAAGTTTAACTGGTAATATATTAGTAAGGAGCCATTAGTTCTGTTATTTATTACCAACCACAATAATGAACCTATGGTCTTTGATAATAAAGAAGTAACATTTTATGTTTAAAAAATACTTCGCTATCGATCCGCCGATTAAGTTTTGTTATAGACAGAGATTACTCATATTTAATAAGTTTCCATTATTTGAGTTTCATAAGTCATCAATTTAATATATTAAATTGTAGTCCATTCATGAACACTTTATTAATTTAAATATATATGTAAGTGTGTGCTAATTCATATAATATATAAATGTTAAAATACTTCCATAATTTACTGAGTAAACCTGTATCATATAAAGATTAATTTAACCTGTGTTAAGTTTTATATTTGCTTTACGTAGTTTATGTTATGGGGTTGTACAAACATAGGATGGGTCTACATTTACGCTGTTAAAAATATAACGCGTCAGTATCGGTGTAATTAACTTCACGAGTAAACTAATAAAGGCCATTGTCAATAAGTAATTGAGTCAAAAAAAAATAAACGTCCCTTTGATGTTGGAATACGGATAGGGCGGATATTTATGGACATGTGACAAATGAAGCCTACAGAGGTTATTGAAAACGATCCCCCGTCAGAATACCATTGAGGGTTATATTTATTATGCAAAAATATAACATAAAAAGGTTCTTTTAGTGTTTGATATCACGATTGTTATTGATATGGCTATATGAAATACGAAAGCCTTTCATTTGCTCTCCCTTTTGAAGTCATTATGCTGAATTAAATAAGTAATGGAAGAAAACAAAACAAAAGAGCTCTTAAATAAAGCGACACGTCACTTCTAGTTCATTAGTTAGTCTACGCTAATTTCACTACACCATTTAAAACGACGCCTTCTAATTTGAAAGTTATTAGACGGACTTTAACTACGTTTTTAATAAGAACTAAGAGGCTTGGTAATTAAAAAGTTTTCTTATAGTTTTAATGATTTTTTAACATTTTGATGGTTGTGATAAAGTTTTGTTCGATGAAAAAAAAATCATATATATGCGAATCGATGTATCTTCTTGTAAACCAAAATTTCAATTTAACTAAGCCTAGTGAGTTTTGAAAGGATAATTTCAGAAAAACAATTGTCACTATTTGAGGTGTTATAACATACTGAATTATAAATAAAAAGATATACTCTTATTTCAACCATAACCATTAAATAAAATGTGTAGAAATTTTAAAAAAAATCATATTACCTCTGTATCTTATGTACATTCAGATATTTCATGTACCTTAGGGATTTAATGTTTTAAAAAAATCTACTATGTATATACAAATTTTTAGGTCAATCGAATATTACGTACTGAGAACTATTAAGCAAAAATTTTTTTTTTCTTATGAATATCTAGCGAGATCTTCTTTAAGAGTTTTAAGACATAAAACACTATTATATAACGAAGAAGGTGTCTAATATTACAAGTGATACAAAAAGTTACTCCCTGTCTTCTTAACCAACAAACCTCACCGTAATAATATTGTTGAACTGTCTTCATATCGTTGTAGCTAAATACAGAGAGGTATAGAAGTTATTAACTTATTACATTTCTGAGATCGGCTTAAATTTACAGTTTTCCTGATATTTAAATTAGGAATAGTCTTTATTTGTGACAAAACTTTGTGATAATCTAGTAATATTATTTTGGTTGCTTATATACTATGTACTTTTGAAATGTATATATATGGTCAAATAAAAATTAGTGAGTTAATATAAATAAATATATTATGTTTAAAGCTATAAGTCCAACTCTAGAGACTGATAAATTAGGAATATTAAGAAAATACCTCATTTAAAATAGTTTAATCAGTGAATCAATCTTATTTCTATACCTACACATTTTAGTTCACCTTCTCACTTACTTCAGGGAACTAACAGTGTTGTGAATGTTACTATGTAAAACATAGATAACCAGTAAGTTACTGATCCAAATTTCAGTAATGTTATTAGTTCTCAAAGTTTTCACATTGAATTGCATATATTTTTTAACTTTAAAGTGTAGAAAAAAGATCTCTTTTAATTAAATCAAATACGACATATATGTTGCAATTAAAACATCTCTAAGAACTAGTTATTATAAAATAAAAAGGTTGTTAATTACTAAAAATACTTTCATTACAATAATATTAACAAAATGAAAAACACTCTATTACAAGGAAGCACTAAAAAGTAGCAAACTTAAGTTACAAACACTTTTCAGTTGCCTCTACCTGTACAAATGCTGCCACTCAAAATCCATTAATTTACAACAATTTAACATTGAAGTATTACTTGAAATATTTTAATCAGATTAACTTGTATATATAAAAATTGTGTTATGAAAATTTATAGTAACGGGTGTTTTTTTTAGAGGTATAGAACTTTGAACTAAAATAAAACAAAAATGATTGCTTTTATTGATATGAAATGTAATATTTTGAAAAGATAATATTCTTTCATTATAATTTAAATAAGATTTCAGGCATATGACCTCCACGACTGGCTCGTACGTAGTTTAATCTGGAGGTCCAATTTTCAACGACTTTTTCCAACATTCGTGACTGTATATCGGCAATAACGTGACGAATGTTATCCTCCAAGTGATCAACGGCTTCGGGCTTATCAGTGTAGACTAACGATTTTACATATCCCCACAGAAAATAATCAAGCTGCGTTAAATCGCATGGTCTTGTGCGCCAATTCACGGGTCCGAAACGTGAAATTATGCGGTTACCAAATGTTTCTCTTAATAAATCAATTGTGCCACGAGCTGTATGACATGTTGCACCGTCTTGTTGAAACCAGAACTCCTGAACATTATGGTTTCATTGATGAACGAAATAGTCACTAATCATCGCTCTGTAGCGGTCAACATTCACTGTTACGTTCTGGCTAGTATCGTTTCTAAAGAAGTACGGACCAATTATTCGGCGGA